GTGCTTTACAAGCAAACAATGACGTGATTGCAATAATTTAGAGACTTGCGTGTCAGGAAACACCATACTGATTTTATTGACTAATGATTCCTGCTTTACAAGCAAACAATGACGTGATTGCAATAATTTAGAGACTTGCGTGTCAGGAAACACCATACTGATTATATTGACTAATGATTCCTGCTTATTATTAAAGGGATCATATGATGCGATTTAATTTTTTCCTTTCTCTTTGGAGTGTTACAAGCTCTTGGTGCATAAAGAAGATCTGTAAAGTTGCAAAGACTAAAGTCTCAAATCCAAAGAGATATTCTTTATAAAAGTTAAGAGTCAGCCACGCCTACATAAAACGGCTCGCTCTAACACGCCCCCACATGTCTACCTCACTATGTGGGAAGATTTGCATAACACCGCCCAAATGTTCACGCAAAGAAAGAAGGCGTAACTTTTATTCTCACTGTAGTATTGTTGCTGCCACCATGTCGTGAAGACGCTGTGTGCTTCGTTGTGAAAGCGAAACTACTTTGTTTGGTCTTCCAAAAGAGGACGATATCCACTTCGTCATGCCTAGAGCTGATTTGTGCTGGTCGCTGAGGGAATACAACAGTATGGTGAGGGGCGTAACATTTCCGTCTCACGCTTGAGGTATTCGGCCAATCACAACGCACTGGATAGCTGGCCAATCAGAGAACACCTTGCTTTTCAGACCGATGAGCGTTTCAAAAAGGCGGGGCATAGATGAGAAACAATAATGTACAGTATGTGGAAAATAATTTTTTTTTTTTACTTTAAACCGCATAAACACATTTCATTACACCAAATACACAAAATAATGTCCTTTTTAGCAGCATCATATGACCCCTTTAAAGATGGCCTGTGATTCACAGCTTCTGAATATTTCAGTGGTTCTCATTCCTATAAAATCAAAAATATATTGCATTTATGACAGGGTGCTCATCTAATAACAATGGTGGACAGTAACGGAGTAGTTTTACTTCGTTATTGTACTTAAGTACAATTTTCAAGTATCTGTACTTTACTGGAGTAGTTTTATTTTGAGTAACTTTTACTTTTACTTCACTACATTCCAAAGCATAAGATCGTACTTTTTACTTCACTATATTTCATAAAACATTTCGTTACTCCTTATAATATATCACGTGTTCCGAGATGCAGAAGCGGTGTCTGATTCAAGAACAAACGGATTCTTTTCAATGAACCTTTTAAATCGGTTTGCAAATCGCACCAAATGATTCATTCACGAATTAGAATGATCCGATTGCAGCTGTTCTCTAGTCGACAACGCACTGATTCAAATGATCTGTTTAGAGTGAGTCTCCAGTGAACTGAATTCACAAATAAGAACTGGGAGATCTTGTGAGCGCGCGCACGACTGATGCTGCTGCTAACCTTTAGTACATTGTGGGTTAAGGCACATGCTCATAATTGTAGCTGTTACTAGCACATTTACTTTAACAGTCAAAGCAAATGGTGTTTGAAAAGTATTTGGTCAAAATGCACCATATAGAAAATACATTCTTTCTATTTTTTTTTATAAACCACTGGGAAACAGATTACAATTTGCAATTTAAGACTGAACATTCATGGAAGAAATCTTGATATATCCTAAGGATTCTTTCGGAATTCTTCAAGATTTTGTTATAGTGTAAAACTCAGCAATACTTTCACATCTCTTGCATGTTCGATACACTGAAAAATATTGTAGAATAATTTTCTTTAAAACAGAAATCGCTAGTAAATTTCACAAATAATTAGAAACAAATGGCAAGTAACAGATTAACATGACATTTTAAAAATACACAATCAATTGGTATATAATGTGTATTGGTTATATGAATAAATGGTTATAATCACACTTGTTAAACGTACTCCAGTAATCATTATTTACAACTTCAAAAAAAAAAAATTTTCTTTTTACAAAGTACTACATGAAAATATAATATCATCCCCAAAACTACAATAGCAGACTTGAGTTGTAGTGAGATGTAAAGAGGCTTTTGTTTGACTTTAGTTTATCACTTCTAGCTGCCACAGGATTATTACAGTGCAAATGAAATTCAAATATTGGCTTACAGCTAATCAGATTCCTCATTATGAGCTCTGAAAAGAAGAAACAATCAAATATCATGACCTGATAGTGGCCTTCTGACATCGTCTGATATTTGACATTTGATGTGTTTTGCATGCTCCTTGAATTCAGCTGAAAGTAGTGTGACTTGCTGTAAGTCTTTTCCATAATCAGAAGTTCACTGAAGTTCAGCACTGATCTGGTTGTGGAATTTAGATGCTAACCTTTAGTACATTGTGGGTTAAGGCACATGCTCATAATTGTAGCTGTTACTAGCACATTTACTTTAACAGTCAAAGCAAATGGTGTTTGAAAAGTATTTGGTCAAAATGCACCATATAGAAAATACATTCTTTCTATTTTTTTTTATAAACCACTGGGAAACAGATTACAATTTGCAATTTAAGACTGAACATTCATGGAAGAAATCTTGATATATCCTAAGGATTCTTTCGGAATTCTTCAAGATTTTGTTATAGTGTAAAACTCAGCAATACTTTCACATCTCTTGCATGTTCGATACACTGAAAAATATTGTAGAATAATTTTCTTTAAAACAGAAATAGTTAGTAAATTTCACAAATAATTAGAAACAAATGACAAGTAACACATTAACATGACATTTTAAAAATACACAATCAATTGGTATATAATGTGTATTGGTTATATGAATAAATGGTTATAATCACACTTGTTAAACATACTCCAGTAATCATTATTTACAACTTCAAAAAAAAAAAATTTTTTCTTTTTACAAAGTACTACATGAAAATATTATATAATTTAATTTAGCAGATTTAGTCATTTGTTTTTTATTTAAGACACACACACATATACAGTGCCTTGCGAAAGTATTCAAACCCCTTATGTTTTCTTATGTTGCAGATGTTAAACTGCTTTAAATTCCTTTTTTTCCCACATCAATCTACACTCCATACACCATAATGACAAAGCCAATAACAGGGTTTTAACATCTTTGCAAATTTATTAAATATTAAAAAAAAGATTCCATTGCATCTGGGACAGTTGAAATTTAGCTCAGGAGCATTCATTTTATCTGGTAAATGTTACCACACTTTGAGTGAAGTTAGCCTGCTGCAAATTCAATTGAATGGGTATGATTTGGAAAGACACACATATCTTAACAACAGGTCTAACAGCTGAAAATGCATATTAGAGCAAAGATCAAGCCCTGAGGTAAAAAAAAAAAAAAAAAACTGGGGAAGAGTTCAGAAAAAATTCTGCTGCATTGAAGGTTCACAGAGGCATGTAGCCTTTATGTATCCATAATGGAAGATGTTTGGAACAACCAGGACTCTTCCTAGAGCTCGCCTCTTGGCCAAACTGATCAATTGATGGAGAAAGGCTTTGGTTAGTGTGGTGACCTAATGGTCACTCTAGTTGAGCTCCATGATTATATGTGAAGATAGGAGAAACCTAAAGAAGGACAAACATCACTGCAAAACTCCACCGATCTGGGCTTTATATTGGTGTGGCCAAACTCAATCCTCTCCTCATTGAAGACGCATAAAAACACACTTGGAATTTTTTTTTTAAAAGCACCTAAAGGACCCTTAGACTGTGAGAAACAAGATTCTCTGGTATGATGAAGCTCATGTTTGAAGGAAACCAGCTCTGCTCATCACCTGAAGAGTGCCATCCCAAAAGTAAAGTGTGCTGGTAGCAGCCTCATGCCGTAGGGCTGTTTTTCAGTGGCAGGGACTGAGGGGCTCATTAGAGTAGAAGAAAAGCTCAATGCACCAAAATATTGAGATAGCCTTAAAGAAAACCCAGTCCAGAGCATTCAGAATCTCAGACCGGGAAGGAGGTTTACCTTCCAACAGGACAATGACCCTAAGCACACAGCAAGAGTGGCTTATAGACAACTCTGTGAATGTCCTTGAGTGGCCCAGCCACAGCCTGAGATTAAACCCAATCAAATATTTCTGGAGAAACCTGAAAATGTGCACCTGCCCCCATCCAAACTGACAGAGCTTGGGAGGTGAAGAGGTGAGGTGAAGAATGGCAGATAATTGCCAAATGCTGATGTGCAAAGCCTGTTGCATCATACCCAAAAATACTTGAGGCCGTAAAGGTGCTTTAGCTAAGTAAAGAGTTAGTACTTAGTACAAAGTTTTTTTTTTTTTTTATAAATGTACAAGTTGTTACAGTTCTGTTTTTGCTTTGCCATTATGGTGTATGAAGTGTAGATTGATGTGAAATAAAAAGTAATTTAAAGCTTAACATAAGGCTGCAACATAACATGAAGGGGTTTGAATACTTTCGCAAGGCACTGTATATTAAGATTGCACTCACAAAGAGCAATTTCTCTAGATTAAATCTAAATGTAATAGCCTAAATATAAATGTAAAATAAAAGTAAAACTGACTATAGAAATTTCCACAACTTTCAAGAAAAAGTATGCCTTTTTCCATGCCTGGAAATCATAGTTTTAAAATTCCTTACTGTGAAAAAATATTTTTAAAATAATTTTTCTACTTCAAAATATGACATTTAATTGAATGTTACATGCCATTTGTTTGTGAAATTTATTAGCAATTTCAGAGTAAAAACTGCTTCTAAACTTTTTTTCAGTGTAGAAAGAAAAACTGAAGCTGAGATAGATGGAGAGAACTAAAGTTTACTTAAGTTCATCCATCATCTGAGATCTCAATGCACTACTATAATACTCCAACGTTGTGGACCTCAAATCTGCACCGATCTACTGTACCTGACCAAACAGCTTCGTTGTGCAAAATTCAGCCTCAGATGTCACACGTACAGAGCTTTCTTTTATCTTATCTGCTAGCAGAAGTTCATTAAATCTGATAAGACACTGTTCCATGCTCTAGCAGATTACAATCTGAATTGCATAACATTGCCAAACTGAGAGTTAATTATCTCTACTCACCTGGTCTGGTCTAAATCAGGTGTGCTCAGAGTTTTCTGCATAAGGCCAGAGGTGTGGAAGCCGCTGAGATCTCACAGGGTATCAAGTCCAATGTTATCTGTGGAGCTGGATTGGTGTTATTCCTCTTTCCTATGGAGAATTCCAGAGCGCAGCACTTTCCTCTCCTGCCTCCTCCTCACTCTTTTACTGCAGTAGCCCAAGATCAAGGCACAGTCCCACCACAAATCTCTGACACACAAACACACACACATACACCAGAAAACAGAGGCACTTGTAAGAACTGCTCTCTCTTACTCTCTCTCTCGCTCTCTTTGTTTTTGTGCTTGTCTTTCATAAACACCCTCTCTTTTTACTCCCTTCTTTCTTTTTTACTCACTCCTGCTCTCTCTCTCTCTCTCTCTCTCTGGCGGAGGTTGGGGTTGCAGCAGCAGGACTCTTGCCAGTAACTCAGCTGTATGCAGTATTGATGGAGTTGCTCAGGGATGCTAACACAGCATGAATTTTCCCAGTGCTCCACTTTCCCTTTCGCTCTTCACCCCCTCCTGCACCTCTTTTGCTCCTTTTTTTCACTCCCCCAACCTATCAGTCTGCTTCCTTTGGTTGACCACTATCTAAATCACTCCTACGATCTCTTTTATTCTCCTTAGTTTTATTGAACTTGTTCTCTCTCAAATGTATTACATCGTGGGTCTAATTTGCCGATTAAGCACATCAAATCTCAGGTTCTCGCTGCATTACTGTATATGCTGCCCCTGTGGATGATCTTTCTACAGATCATTAGCGCTCATTTGTGGCGCTTGCTAAGACTATCACTATTATTTTTGCTCATACTTAGGTTTAGGAATGTGAATGAACCTTTAACCCTGAGTAACGCTGAGTTATGCAGGTGGTTTTCCCATCCTGTCCACAGCACAAAGAGTACAAGAATTAAAAGTTTGTTGTTGAAAATAGGTGTGCTACAATTTTGTAATTAAGAGGATTTTAACTTGATGAATAATAAAAAAGGGCTCTGACTCGGGCCAGTATGCAACAACTTAGAACACCCTAGCATACTACATACTAACAACCAAGCTAGGTCTTCAGGATCACTCAAAAATTAAAGGCAGGTGCGTTTGATTAGAGTTGGAGCTAAACTTTGCAGGACAGTCGATCGCCAGGAGCAGGGTTGGGCACCCCTGTTCTATGGCATCGCTTGAAGAACCTTTAGAAGCACCTTGATTTTTAAGAGTGTAGCAATAGACTAAGAACGATTTTTCATGGCCGATTCCTATTTCAGTTTTTTTTTACAAGCAAATTGGCCGATTCTGATACTGCTGTGCTTCAAAACATTACTCTTAGACAGAAGAAAATTCCATTGAAACCACCCCCAATTCAATATTTAGGATTTTCTTCCAATATTTCGCTCATAGTGAACAGTGCGCTGCGCTGCCTGCTACAGTATTCTCTCCTCTTTGGGTCCATCTTCAGCTTCTCTGGTCTCTGTAAGCAGCCGTTTACAGACTTCGTAATTTTTCTACACAAATGATAATTTGGAAAATGATTGCAATGCAGTTTGTGTGCAATTGCGGTATAGAGATAAAACTATCACAATATTGGCAACCGGCATATCGCTATACCGGTATTGATTGATTGATTGATTGATCCAACCAATCATAACAGCGAATCTGCCAATTTTGTCTGACAGACTAACCAGACAGTAGATTAAATTAAGTCTGTGGACTTTGGTGGATAATTTTTGGTGGAAAAATGGTGTGTATTAATGTCTTTCCGTGGTTGAAACAAGATACCTTCTGATGTTCATTCATGTTTATTTTGTGCTATAACTAGTAAAGAGGAAGAGATGACTGGTTCACATGCCGCTTGACCTGAAACTATTTTTACGCAGAAAACACACAGTTATGAACGTGAACTGGTGGATCGACAAGAAGATAACGAATTATAAAACTTTAAAGATAAAGCCTAAACTAATATACATTTATGTTACTAAATGAATATAATTGTTTGATAATAATTGTTTAAATTAATATAAAAATAATATAATATAGTATGATATAATATAATTTTTTTTACTTTTGACTCCCCCCCCCCAAACAAAACACTTTAACAACTACATAGCAATGTGCTAAAAATCACCCAGAACACCCTAGCAACCATCTACCTAGCAACTATGCACTAACCTTAACAACAAACCCTAATGTAAACGTCTAGATCTTTACTGCATCATGTGTGTATGACTGCCTTTGAAAAAGGAGTAAAAAGATGTCTGATGACACTTACAGTCTAATTATTATTGAAAGGGTCATGAGGCCCTTTTTGCTGTGCTCATCACAAAGAGAAACCTCTCTGATTTCAAATTCATTAAATATGCTGTCGGATCAGAGAATAGGACACTTAATTTCAGGAGAGGTTGTGACTAAACCTGAAATGATGATTCACTGATTAAAGTTGTGCTTGCCACTTTGATGCAAACAACAGTTTTAGATATCTTTATGTGCAAAAAAAACTGTATGTTGTTGCATTAAAGCAGCAGTAGACCTGAATGCATTAGGGATTCAGTCTTGCACCAGCAGTCTGTTTTTACTGCTGTTTTCTGACATCTCTGCAGCATGTGCCAGCAGGTTCAATCAAACTTAACTCCATCAGCAAGCAAAGATCCTGGTAGAACATCTACTTGTGATGCCCTCTGCTGGCAATGGAGGAAAGTCACCAAAAATTAGAGGTGAAGAGCTGAGGAAGCATCACCTCAAGGATAAAAGGACAAACATGATAAATCATTTCAGGAGGCACTCATTCCCTTCACCAGACATGGCCTGTCACAGTGCACAGAGCCATACAAGTCACAGCATATTATATAGAAGATCACAGATCTGATGAATTATGAATTGGCCTTATTCCGTGTTATGAATGTTAATGGCTTCTTCCTGTAGATGTGCTTTTCCTGATGGTTTTAACCCCTGTGGAAGGATCGATAGCTTTAGATTTTCAAGGACACAATTGCTTATTGATAAGGCTAGTACCTGGATGGATAGTGATAATAAATTATTAGTATTTTTGTTTAAAAATGCAAACATGTGAGAAATATTGGCCAGTTTAAAAAACACGTGAGTACAATAAAATTTAAAATCTATCAGTTATGATAACATTAGATTAGATATAATTTTATTAATATAATATAGGAATTAAAATATATAATATATATACTGTACACCACCGTTCAAAAGTTTGGGTTTTTTATATTTTTATGGCTGCATTTATTTGATCAAAAATACAGTAGAACAGTAATAATGTGAAACATTATTAGAATTGAAAATGACTTTTCTATTTTAATACATTTTAAAATGCAAGTTATTCTTGTAATGACAAAGCTGAATTTTCAGCATCATTACTCCAGTCTTCAGTGTCGCATGATCCTTCAGAAATCATTGCTGATTTGCTGCTCAAGAAGTATTTCATATCATTGTAAACAGTTGTTGTGCTGCTTAATATTTTTGTGAAAACTGATAAATTTTTACATTTGTCAAGTTTCTTTGATAAATAGAAAGTTTGAAAGGATTATAAAAAGGGTTTATAAAAGGTTTATAACAGTATAATTAACTGATGATGACAGAGCATCATCAAATGAACATTGTCTGATTCTAGACAGTGCACACTTTTTAACACAATTTAACACCTTTGTCTCTGCAACGTAGATGTGCTTTCAGATATTAACAAGGGATCATATCAGCAGTTGAGCTGGCCAATCACAGCACACCTCGCTTTTTCAGAACGATGAGCTTTGTAAAAATCTGAACCGCGTTTCAGAAAGGCGGGGCATAGAGGAGAAACAATAATGTACAGTATGTGGAAAATGATGTGTTTTTTTAACCTTAAACCGCATAAACACATTTCATTACACCAAATAATGTTCTTTTTAGCAGCATCATATGACCCCTTTAACATCTGTATATGGATGTATTCTCACTGACTGCAGGCCAAAGGCACACCCTCTCTTCGTTTGTACCCATTGACCTCTATGTTTCACAGGAAACTCTTATCTGAACATCTGCGCTAGATGACTTTCGCTGGCAAGATTAGCCGAGCACTAAAAGGTAGCATGCCTGTCCTAGACAAGAAAAAATAATTCATTGTTTTCAACTTCTGCTTGAGCTGTGGTTTGTCTCTCCCTATTCGTCTTCTTTCATTTCCTTTATACTTGTTTTAATGTTGTTCTAACTGATGCCAAAATATCCATTAGGGATGTTATACAGGCTACACAATGCTTGCTATCCCAAAAACACTTCAGAACAGAGGAATGGAGGCATTTGGAGTGAGTTCTAATCAATCTATACACTTTTATTTAGCTTATCTTCATTCATTCATCAATTTATAAAACGTATGGCTTGATTTAACAATAATTCAACAAACATATTCAGTCAATAACTGACTTCATTATGCTTAGGGATATTCATCCTCACGTCGCTCTGAAACTTAAAACTTTCTTTTTTCTGTGGAACATAATAGAAAAACATAAGAAGATGGAATGACAGAATTGTAATTTCTGGGTGAATTATCTCTAAGAACAAATCTTTTACAATTAAAATGTTTTCAGTTTTATGATTATGCACAGAATACAGATCCCAAAAACTAATTACAAATTTATTCAGACACAAATTATATTCTCAATTTGAAAAACTTGCATTACAGCATTAACCATAATTGGCAAATGCTACCATTGATAAAACGTACTGTTAAAAAGTGTCAAATAATGCACACACAAAGAAAAGAAAACTAAACTAAACTAAAAACAAATAAAATAATATATACAAATTATATTCTCAATTTGAAAAACTTGCATTACAGCATTAACCATAATTGGCAAATGCTACCATTGATAAAACGTACTGTTAAAAAGTGTCAAATAATGCACACACAAAGAAAAGAAAAGAAAACTAAACTAAACTAAAAACAAATAAAATAATATATATATATATATATATATTTATACTGTATATATTTCTTACTATACTAGTTTAAATGTTTTTAAATCTATACCAATATGCTACTGATTTCTTTTCCAAAGAGGGCTTAGAAAGTCTCCTGACAGCTTCAGAAAATGTGAATAATTCTGTCCAAATGCTTCCAAATCATGCATAACATTAATTTAGTTTTTGGTCCAATGCATCAACAGTGCAAATAAATCTGCTGCCACCCCGTGCAACCCTTACAAAAATGATTTTGAGAGTTTTAGTATTCTTTAGGATGACAGCTCACAAATCTCTCAAGTCTGCAGAGATTGATTCTTATGTAAAAGAACTGAAGCATTACTAAAAGTATAATTTAGCTCTCAAGGGGATGAATAAATATGAAAAATCGCCATGCAAGTAACTCCTCTGATGCAATTGCAACGCTGATTAAAACAAATTCGATATTTCATGATAAGTCTGGCATGATTGTTTAGTAAAGCCGAGTGAATATTTCCAGCCTTCAGATGAAATCTAAGCTATATGATTTCCGTCTTTCTGTAATGCTGAGTTCTCGGGCGTTGTTCTTGATTGAGAGCGAGAATTTTACTTCGCAGCTTTGCTTCATGATCGCCCATGCAAACAGCAACAAAAAGAAAAGCCCCTCCAACAACTAAAAGAAGTCCAGCAAACCAGGCAGAAAACATGGCCTCTCCATACTCCCACCTGGGCATCACATCCGGAAGATTCTCATCCCAGAACTTCACTACCATTATGTACGCCATTAGCGAAACAGGTGCAAGGGTCGTGATCCCCGACACAACGATAAACACTCCACCGAGGATGAGCAGCGTCCTCTTCATCCTCTCCCGCCCGGCACCAATCTCAACACCTTGGAGTCCGAAAAAAGCAGCCGCCACACCGAGGAATCCCGTCGCGATGGAAATGCACATGAGAACCCGTGAAGCTAAAGTGTCTAGTGGAAGGGCTAAAAAAGACTCGAAGGCTTTGCAGTGAATGCCAACTTCCTCTGTGTAGTTTGAAAGAAGTCTCTTATGCCAACCAAGGTTGCATTGTTTTTTTTTAATCAAAAATACAGTAAAGTTATTTTGTGAAATATGGTTGCAATTTAAAATAGATGTTTTACATTTTTATGCATTTTAAAATGTAATTTATTACATTGCTGAATTTTTTGCATCATTACTCCAGTCTTCAGTGTCACATGATCCTTCAAAAATCATTCTAATATGATGATTTGCTGCTCAAGAAACATTTCTTATCATCAAAGTTGAAAACAGTTTTGCTTAATATTTTTGTGGAAACCCTGATACAGGATTCTTTGATGAACAGAAAGTTAAAAAGAACAGCATTTAATATATGATGGACATAATCCATAATATCCCTTCCATCAGTAAAAAAGCAAAAAAATCCATCTCCTGTTGTCCATCTACAAATTCTACCAACATATTTGAATCGTTCAGGACTGTTTATACTAGTTAACAACACAAATCTGTGTATATTTCGCTCCTGATTCAGATTAAAGACGTTTTTCACTGGAGAAAGCAGTTAAAAAGTTAAATGACTGTAATGATGGATTTGTTTCTTACAAACACACAGCTTTTGGCTTCACAAGACATTAATTGATGGACTGGAGTCGTGCAGATTACTTGTGGATTGTTTTGTTTTTTTAAGCTTTTTGGACTCTCATTCTAACGGCACCCATTCACTACAGAGGATCCATTGGTGAGCAAGAGATGGAATGTGAGCAAGTACCTGCAAGACATTTTCTACAGTTACGTTCATCTCCAGATTTTGCTTGCAGTAGGCCTGAAGTCTGTTGTTGGAGAAACCGTAGTAATAAGGTGCTGCAAACAGGTATCTGTGCGCTAGTTAAGGACATAAAAATAATTTAAAAATTGATAAAGCTCAGGTCACTTCCATTTAAAACTATGGATTTCTTCCATCTGTTTTATCATCCCCCAAAGAAAAATTGCTGATCGTAAAGTAACAGCACACCTCTCCTTAACAGCTACACTATTTGAGGCACCGATCATGTCTCTTGCATGTGGGATGAGTTTTGTCCAAATATTTGATGTGACATTTGTTCAAATGTGAGATATTAATAGTAATACAACGATATTAATAGCAATACAACGTATTGTGCATGCAACCAGAAATAAAGATTGCATACAATACAAAATTGGGGCACATGAAGCAGTAAAAAGGATACAGGGAGTCCTCTGGAGGCATGTTGACGTCCCCATAATAAATGTAGCGCAGCATGGACTCAAAGGCCTGTGTACTAGGAACCATCTCACCTATTGAAATGTTCACCTGCCCGTCCTCTGGCATGAAGGAGCGGAACATGGCCTCAAAATAACTGTCAAAGAATTGAAGCAGCAATCAACTAGTAAATTATTCATAGTCGAAGTTAAAAATGTAAATAAAATAAAAATCCTTTTCACTTGTACTAAATATTTCAGTATAAGCGGTCAAGGCAAAATTTCTAATTTTCATTCAGTTTAAACTGAAGTACTAAAATTACTAAAACTTAAACTGTAACTAATCTAAAACTGAAAATAAAAAATTATATAAAACTTACAAAAATCAGACAACAAAATGACTAAACTTGGAAAATATAAAAATCTAACCCAATTCAAAACATTAACATGTACTATAATACTATACCATGATTTACCTGATTCATTAAACTTAAAAATATAGTATGGAAAAAAGAAAATACTGCGGAAGTCAATAGCTACTGCTAACTGTTTGGTTGAACCTCATTTTTGGATGAACTATCCCTTTAATACTTTAAATGCAAAACGATTCTTTGTCGAATTGCATACAATACAAAATTGGGGCACATGAAGCAGTAAAAAGGATACAGGGAGTCCTCTGGAGGCATGTTGACGTCCCCATAATAAATGTAGCGCAGCATGGACTCAAAGGCCTGTGTACTAGGAACCATCTCACCTATTGAAATGTTCACCTGCCCGTCCTCTGGCATGAAGGAGCGGAACATGGCCTCAAAATAACTGTCAAAGAATTGAGGCAGCAATCAACTAGTAAATTATTCATAGTCGAAGTTAAAAATGTAAATAAAATAAAAATCCTTTTCACTTGTACTAAATATTTCAGTATAAGCGGTCAAGGCAAAATTTCTCATTTTCATTCAGTTTAAACTGAAGTACTAAAATTACTAAAACTTAAACTGTAACTAATCTAAAACTGAAAATAAAAAATTATATAAAACTTACAAAAATCAGACAACAAAATGACTAAACTTGGAAAATATAAAAATCTAAACCAATTCAAAACATTAACATGTACTATACTACTGTACCATGATTTACCGGATTCATTAAACTTAAAAATATAGTATGGAAAAAAGAAAATACTGTGGAAGTCAATAGCTACTGCTAACTGTTTGGTTGAACCTCATTTTTGGATGAACTATCCCTTTAATACTTTAAATGCAAAGCGATTCTTTGTCGAGGCCCTGGTGACTATCGTCATTACCTGGAGCGAGCAGCAAGTATGGCCTTATGTGCAGGGCGTGGATGACCATCTAGCAAAAGGATGATGTCACAGAACTCATGGCCCGCCCCCTCCAGACAAGCCTTCATGTCCTGTACCAGAGACGTGCCTGAAACAAAATATTTTTTGGAGCTATATCCCCTATTTTGGATCTGTCCTGAAAGCTTGAGTGCTTACAGAGAAAGGACAAAAAGACAATGTGGTTATTATTACCTATATCCACCGGCTGATCCGAATAGACTCTGGGAGGAGGCTGCTGTTTGCGTCTCACTATCTCCACGATTAGCGGAGTGGACAAGTGCTCAAACTCTTTGGTCATGATCACCTGGTTGAAGTGACTCTCCTTCACCACAAAGTTCAGGCAGTGTTCCTGGGGGTGGAGCAAGTATGGCCTTATGTGCAGGGCGCGGATGACCATCTAGCAAAAGGATGATGTCACAGAACTCATGGCCCGCCCCCTCTAGACAAGCCTTCATGTCCTGTACCAGAGACGTGCCTGAAACAAAATATTTTTTGGAGTTATATCCCCTATTTTGGATCTGTCCTGAAAGCTTGAGTGAACAAGAGAAAGGACAAAAAGACAATGTGGTTATTATTACCTATATCCACCGGCTGATCCGAATAGACTCTGGGAGGAGGCTGCTGTTTGCGTCTCACTATCTCCACGATTAGCGGAGTGGACAGGTGCTCAAACTCTTTGGTCATGATCACCTGGTTGAAGTGACTCTCCTTCACCACAAAGTTCAGGCAGTGTTCCTGGGGGTGGAAATAAATAGAGATACAGAAGAGAATCTGACTTTCTGACAAGGACGTTTTCTGTGATCAAGTGTGTGTTACTTCAGCTTTACCTTGAGCTGGTCCAGCTGAAGTTTGTTTGCGTTTTCACACACACTCAGGACATTCTGCAGATCGACCGATGCCTCAATGTACTGCACACAGAGCTGCTCCAGTCTGGACAGTTTAAAACTCAGAGCGAGTTTATAAACGTCCATGATCAACAGCACATCCTGGACATGACCTGTTGAGAGACAGGAAGAATTAAAATAGTGCCCTGAGACACTCTCTGTGCCTTTTATTAAAGGGGTCATATGATGCCATTAAAATTTTTCCTTTCTCTTTTTTGAGTGTATGTACAGTATGTGGAAAATAATGTGTTTTTTGAACCTTAAACCACATAAATACATTTCATTACACCAAATAATGTTCTTTTTAGCAGCATCATATGACCCCTTTAAGCAAATCTACAGAAGACCTAAGGAAGCCCGTTTCCGCCACAGTCTAAAAAAAAAAAAAATGGAATTGAAAACTTTTCTCACAGTTGTGAGTTTATATCTCATGACTCTCATAATTGCTAGCTTATATCTTGCAATTATGAATTTTGTATTTTGCAACTCTGAAAAGTCCAAATTGTGAAATCTAAACATATAAAAGTCAAAATTGTGAAATAAGAAGTTCCAATTGTTTTTTTACCTTTTTGTGGCAGAAAGAAGCTTCCATACATCTAAAGATAAACAGGTGTTCAGTGTAACTTACCTCTACGTGGGTACTGTATCTTATCAGTGTACAGGAACTGCATTAAAACCTCAAATGGTTGCGCGTCTGCCTCTCTGATTGACACTTCCAATAAAGGAGGACCCCTTGAGGACCTTCCAGAGCTGTCCTTCTGACTGCCTGAGCCAGACTCTTCACTCTCCTCATTGCATTCCAGTTTACTCTTCTACAAAAAAGAAGTTCACTTTCTGATTAGCCAAACGGAAACCATTTTGGCCAGGAAATTGCATTCCTTATTCTAATGAAAGAATATTTAGAATTTAAAAAATAAACAATGCAAATAATAATAGTGCAAGTTAAACATATAAAACGATCTATAAAAATAATATATATTTAATAAACACAATCATATTGGGAGAAGACAAACATCTTATCCTGACATACAGCTACTGGGAAGTTACAACAGGAAGGTGGGATTTCACCACTTTGTTCAATCTAAAGGAAACAAAGAAAACGGTAGATCAGAAACAGTCCAACATGGTATATGTTCACTGGAAGGGAATGAAGTTATTGTGTATGTTCTGAGAGACTGTTAATGATTTATTGGGATTATAAAAAATGAGTGGGTGGATTTGTACCATTCTAGGCTGGTTGTTTTTACACACTGCGGCCACACAACTGTTCAAACAGCTTATTAAAGTGATTTTGGCATACTAGGTCCCTTTTAAGGTGAACACAAACCCTTACGTAAAAGTAACAGGGCTGCATCTTGAAAAAAAAATTTTAAATGTTGATTTGTAAAAAAAGGCATAATATTACCTAATTTGATTACACGGAGTTAGGTCTGTGCGATATTGAAGAATAATGTGATATTCAATACCTCATTAAATAATGCGATACGATAATGCTTAAAGTGCCACATGCTCAGATGAAACAGTTATTGTGTATGTTCTGAGAGACTGTTAATGATTTATTGGGATTATAAAAAATGAGTGGGTGGATTTGTACCATTCTAGGCTGGTTGTTTTTACACACTGCGGCCACACAACTGTTCAAACAGCTTATTAAAGTGATTTTGGCATACTAGGTCCCTTTTAAGGTGAACACAAACCCTTACGTAAAAGTAACAGGGCTGCATCTTGAAAAAAAAATTTTAAATGTTGATTTGTAAAAAAAGGCATAATATTACCTAATTTGATTACACGGAGTTAGGTCTGTGCGATATTGAAGAATAATGTGATATTCAATACCTCATTAAATAATGCGATACGATAATGCTTAAAGTGCCACATGCTCAGATGAAACAGTTTTTACTCAGCTGTTGCCGAGTCAGTTCTGTGAATTTCTATAACTATCGTGTCATATATATGGTTATTTGTATGTATGTATGTATCAAGAGTTCCTGTAAAACCACAACAAATTCCTTGGGTTTGCGCACACTTAAGTGGTGAATAAAGCTCATTCTGATTCTAATAAGAAAGCACCCCAACAATAAATTCTGAAAGTGAACAGTATGTGTTTTAATCAAGCATTACATAAAAATGTAATTTTAACATTAGTGTAATCATTTTAACATGAGTTTAGGAACTGAATAATAAAAAGGAAAAATAAAACACTGCTTAGTATTTACTCTTTGAATTCAATATGCACTGATTCTTATTTAACCTATAAAAGCTATTTAGGTAAGAGCAGTGAGTGATTTTCTCTTTGTCTTTTGTTCATGGCCCCAAATATTGCAAGCTGTAGCGATATGCATATTGCGATATGTACATTTGCGATATTTCGATAATTTCGATATATTGCACAGCCCTATACAGAGTTCAAAAATGTCAAAAACTTTCCATCATGGATAGTTTTTAAGAAATGTTCAAATAATGCAGTTAATGTCAAATAACTTTACAAAATCTGTCCTTTTCTGTTGCTGTTTGGATGCTGACACCTACAGATTTAGCAGAAAACATCTGGGTCTTGTCTGCATTTTCTTCTGTTACTGGGCATAATTCCACGATTGATATCAGGGTTAGGCATAAAATAATGTCTTCAGAATCATTCATGCATGTGAAAATTGGTGTAATAATTAGACAATCCTGTTTTTGGATGAAACTTATGCAAACATAAGTCACCTCTTCCCAGTATGCCTGCTCACGATCCTGAAGACTTATGGTCCACATGTCATTTAGCCTGTTAAAAAAACAAAAAAGGGTTCATAGAATAACATTTCAAAAAAATCCCTTAGTTTTATGCTGAAATAGATTTGTTAATGTTACAACATATTTATATTTGCCTTTCAAAGCTGTGTAAAGATAGGAATAATACACTTGCCTGGCATTTCCATCATATCCAGCAAAAATCCACAGTTTGTCATTATAGACCGTCGCTCCATGAGCTGATCTGGCAACCAGACTGGAACATAAAATACAAAAAAAGCATTAAAAACAAGATTGTGTGTCAGACAGGCTATAACACAATTCTGAGAATCAATATGGTTTACCGTCCCTCCACCTTCCATTCTGTCCACTGCCCGGTGGCAAACTTGTACTCAAATAGATCATTTTTGTTTTTCAAGTTAGAGTTTGAATAGATGTCTCCAGTGTAGCCACCTAAAATACAAGCAGAAAAACATTACACACACACAGGAAAGAAAAACACGACATTGAAAGGCACACTGAAAACCTACCAAACACAAACATGCTGCTTCCATACACAACAGCAGAGTGGTGGTATCTTGGCGCTGGTGGGGTGCCAGTAGTAAATGCCCTATTTAATGACATAAATCGATATAAGAGGCTACATAAAACATGTTTAAGCACATTTTAACCTTGCGACTATCATACAACACTCACCGACACCATGAGCAGTCCTTCACGTCAAACCGCAACAAGTCATTAAGCATGTTCTTGCTGGAAGAAATAATCACATATGAGATCCTTCTGTGCGTTTTAGTGTAAGAAAAGTAAGGGGAAACAAATACTCACCCATTGTCTCCTCCAAAGACGTAGATGGCATCTCTGTATGCCACAACAGTGTGTTTGCTACGCCTGCAAGAAACAAAACTCAGCTTTTACTATTGAAATCATCTAGCTAAAAGATGGAGAACAACTGTTGTAAATGAATAAATACACAGTGTACCTTGCACCCACAAACTCATCACATGGAGGCAGCCTCCTCCAGCGGTGGACGGTCTCAAAAGGCCCGAAGTTGAGTGTCAAATACTCAACACTGTCAGAGCAGCTGTGGTCAAAATCAACACTGGGAGCAACTTTGGATTTACAAGACATGGCTTCAGGAAACCATGGCATCCAGTTCACAACTAACAAGGTTGAGTCCAGCCGAAGGACCAAGTTTAGAACAAAAAAAAACTAATTTTTTCCAAGCTGTTTGATTCGTTTCTGGTTCATCTGAATCCTATTGCCCAAAAGATGATGATTGTTTACTTAGCTATAACTGTATATGGTCATATGCCACGGCTTGTAATCCTCTAAAAGTTTAATAGAAATGGTAATATAAAAAGAACGAGAACTATCAAACTTCAACGCGTCGATAGAAAGAAATAATATTATGAAATATATATATAAATAAGATTAGCATCTCTTCCAGCTTTTCTGATCTAAGCGTCGAGTGAGGACTGAGGAGACGAGATTAATTTAACGTTACCTGACATGCGCAGACTCGCGGCTTGCTTTGAATGGAGGAGAGCCCACTAGACGTCATGAACAACATAAAAACACAAAAAGTGAATTACACATATTTTTATCTATCACAATTTCGTTTTATTACCAACGCGTAGTTTTTTTAATTAGATGTGCTCAAATAAAAATAAAATTAAGGAAACGTAGAGCATACGTGATGACGTACGCGTGAGGTTGCATTTTCATTGGTTGACGTTTTGAGGGGCGGGAGCGAAGCGGGAAGGTGACTGGAGCTCGCGGCAACAACAACACAAAACGCGCCAAGTTTCTATGGTGGAGGCACAGTGTGAGCAACGGAAATATATATATATATATATTTACAGTAGCATTCTATGTATCAGTAACAACGCGAATTGTATGGAAATGTATAAGGAGATATGATGTTTCATCGTTGTCGAGCAGCAAGTCTAATATTAACTTGCGTTGAAAGTGTGTGAACAGGGGACCCGTCGAGTAGTGTACAGTAAAGCTGTTAACTGACTAGTTCTCTATTTAGGGACTGATTTGAATCTTGCAGATTCTTGTCAGCTATGGTTTTACAAAACAGTGGGCGATATAAAGCAGACCGAGGTGGTGGAGATCAGGACAACCAGCAGTAAGTTCATAATGTTGACATATTTCAGCCTATGTAGTTTAATGTTAATTTACTGTAAAAGCAAATGAATTAATGACTTTGATATTTCTTGGTTATCAAGTAAGGTCCATATGTGCTACAGTTTGGAAGAGCAGACAGTGTTTGGGTTGTTGACAAATAAACATATTTCTTTAACAAAGATTTTAGGATCTTAGAATATTTATATAGTCATTTATTAGACGCTTTTATCCAAAGCGATTTACAAATGAGGACAACAGAAGCAATCAATTGTAGTATTAAAACAACTAAAAACAGATCCAAAGCTAAAACTTTATAAATACCACCTATACACATGTTAAAAATAAAGAGATTAAATAAAAATGACAAATGCATACAACAAAATTTCAAAACTTAACATTTAAATGAAAACCAAAAAATAAAGCTAAAAACAATTCCAAATATTAAAGAACAAAAGGTATGAGTATAATAATGATTCTAACATAACACTAAGCCAAACACCAAAAAAACAACAACTACATATGTGTATGTATAACCACGCACACATACATATATACTGTATATGTACATACACATTTATAAATTCAATATATAATTTCATTTCCATTTAGTTTGTTGAAGTATTAAAATAACTCAAATGAAATCAAACTAAAAACCTAAAAGACCTATACAGACATAATAAATTCTGACATAATGTAAGTAAAATTAAAATAAATAACAAATACAAATAATACAAATCAAATGAAAGTAGTTTATCAGTAATCCTAAAAAATAGCACTGCCAAACACATGCTAAAAAACAACAACTTACTTACACTTATACTTACTTAAATGTTTATTTATGAATTCATAATATCCTTATTATTAAGCACTGTATAATTGTAACCTTATATGTATATTATAGCCAGATAAATGGTCGAAATTGTTTGTCATAGCTTTTTTTTTTTGCAGTGAAATTGTCCTAATGTTGTTATTTTAGAAGTAGCTATGTACTATTATAGTTTTTATTAATATATATTAGTATATTTCCAGTTTAATAAAAATTAATTTTGGTATGTGCTTTTGTCATTTTTATGATTACCTTTTTTTTTTATCTATGTAGTTTTAATACATTTTTTTAGTCAGTTTTAGTTTTATTTCAGTTAGTAATTTTAGTACTTCAACCTAAACTTTAACTTAAAAACGTTTAATTTAAAGTTTTTCATCTAATATTTATATTTTATTTTTCAGCTTTATTACAATAAACAAAAAAAAGTTTTTTTTAGCAGTTTAGTTAACAGTAATAATTTGTGTATTACAATTTGATTTTTATTACAAATTCATGCAATGTCAATTAATATGAAGTCATAAAAACTGAATGTAACATGATTATGCAAGAATTCAAGAAAATATTTAGCAGTTTTTACAGTTGTCAAAATGGCTGTTGAATCTTGTTGCAGTAAGTTTTCTGTTGCTTTTTAGGGATGATGCATCAGCTTTGTCCGCCGTCAAGCGGCTGGAGCGCAGTCAGTTCACTGATGGGATGGACGAGCGCTTTGGCTTCGAACGGATGAAGGAACCTGGGGAGAAAACGGGATGGCTGATCAACATACACCCGGTAAGAATGAATGTCAGACAGTCAACACAGGATTTAGATTGGCAGTAAACTTTGCTTTCTGATAATCTAGCCAAATATTATGAAGGCCTTTAAACATTAAACAATTTATTTCTTCTCAGACTGAGATTCTGGATGATGACAAGCGGATGATCAGTGCTGTGGACTATTACTTCATACAGGAGGATGGAAACCGATTCAAGGTGTCATATTCATACAGCATTTCGCAAATATGAATATTTATTTATTCCAAACCAAATACTAAAAGTTACTCCATGTTGTAAAATTACAAAAGTTTGGGATCTGGAAGATTTTTTATGTTTTTGAAAGATGTCTCTTATGCTCACCAAGTCTGCATTTATTTGATCAAAAATACACTAAACGCAGTAATATTGTGAAATTTTCAGCATCATTATTCCAGTCTTCAGTAACACGTGATCCTTCAGAAATCATTCTAATATGCTGATTTGCTGCACAAGAAACATTTTGTATTATTATCAATGTTGAAAAATCTTGTGCTGCTTAATATTTTTGTGGAAACCATGAGGGCTTTTTTGATGAATAGAAAAGTTCAAAAGAACAGCATTTATTTGAAATAGAATTCTTTTGTAACTTTATAAATGTCTTTACGTCACTTTTGAGTTTTGATCAATTTTATGCATCCTTGCTAAATGAAAGTATAAATTTTTTTTTTTGTATAAAGTTATTGACTTCCAAACTTTTGAACGGTAGTGTATTTTATCCTGAATCACATTGACATAGAGCTGGATAAAGAATATCTTATGTTGACATAGGTCCTGATGTTGTAAGTTTCAGCTTTTTGTGTATGTGTCCCTCACAGATTGCTCTTCCCTATAAGCCGTATTTCTACATAGCCACTAAAAAGGTGAGTTTAAAGCTTTTGCACTGAATGAAAACACTTTGGGTTGGATGGATTGAATAATACACTTTTTGTGTTTTTTAAAGAACTGTGAAAGAGAGGTTATCTCCTTCCTGTCAAAGAAGTTCCTGGGAAAAGTGGCAAAGCTTGAAGTTGTCCCAAAGGAAGACTTAGATCTGGTGAGTAAAGTTCTGTCATACATTAGGTCAGTGTTTCCCAACCTTTTTTTTCCCAAATTTTGATAAGTTTTGATAAGTAAATCCCACAGCACACCACTAAGCACTTAAAAAAAAAAAAAAAGATAGAAAGGGGGAAAGGTTTTTTTTCCCAATAATTAAACAATGCTTCGTCAGAGTTGATATTTTGGCTTTATACTGTATATGATCAGACACTTTCACTTAACACTTTCTGAAAATCATGCTCAAATGGAGTTAACAAGGTTTTTGATGAGCAAATGACGGAGGTATGTATTTTGTCCGTCATTAGAACGGCTTCATCTGAGGCAATAAATTACGTTTTCATTAATGTACCGGTTGTATAGTTTATTGTAATTATGAACGTTCAGTTTTTCTTGTTGTTTAATAAATTTGGCCAGAATCTCATGATATAAAAGGTGAAATGCTATGCATGATATTTAAAACTTACAAAAGTATATTGGCTACAACTAGACGGCAAATGCTAAGACTCTTCTCTGCTCTTCAAACACACAAAAACATTAGCCTTTATCGATAGTGTTTCTTGGGTAAAGAAAACCCCATACTTATTCAAACATCAGTTCTTTATTTACCCAAGAAGTAGACGTCGTCTTCAAACTGTGTGTCCCGGCACTTCATTCTGAATGGAGGCGGGGGGGAGTTATGAGGTTTGACTGACAATTTGAGGATCCAATGGAGTTACGAGGTTTAGTCACAAGCCCTTTTGAATGCTTTTCATTGGTTAAATATTTGTAGAACCCACAAACAGACAACGATGACCAATAGCACTGATTTTAAATAATAATAACGAAATAGAACAGAGATAGGAAGATTTTGATAATTGTCCACGGCACTAGTGTACCGCGACAGTGGTTTGGAAACACTGCATTAGGTAAACAATTCTGCTGACTTGCTTGCCTGATTGATTTGTCAAAATATGAGTTCTGTATGAACCATAATCTCTTAATCAGTGCTTACCTGTAATTTTGTTAATTTATTGATCCTCTCTGTTTTTACTGTACAACCGAGAGAAGCCCAAACCAGGGCTAGTTGGCCAAAGTTGACCCATGATGATCTTTGATTTGTTCTGCCATGTCATATCACCAAGAGGTGAAAAAATAGAAGAAACAAATAATTCCACTGGAGTGTATGCCAAAGTTTCATTTTTACATATTAATATAATGCTGTTGAATGTAATGCAACATTCGGCCCATGACCCCTTTGTAGTAAAAAGTGGTGGCATTTCTGCTTTATAATGTCAATCATTTGATTGCTGTGTGTCTTTTAAAGCCTAATCACCTGGTGGGCCTGAAGAGGAATTACATCAAACTCTCTTTTAACACGGTGGATGACCTTGTTAAAGTGAAAAGGGAGATCTCACCTGCTGTCCGCAAGAACAGAGAGAGAGAGAAGTCCAATGATGCCTATACCAGCATGTTATCCAGGTATTCACACTTTGGCAACAGAGATTTTGAAAATAAGTTAAACTTGAAGAACAGTTTAAAAGACAAGACTTTCTCATTTAATGCACTTGACACTATTCACCATTGTTATTTGGTCCTGTAAATAGAATAAGGCACTTATTCTAACACTGTGTTAAAGTGCTTTGGTTGGTGGGAGCGTAGTGACAGAGGATGAGGATGGCACTTGGAAGAAAATTACTGAGCAGCTTGACAACATCGTAGACATGCGGGAATATGACGTGCCTTATCATGTCCGCGTTTCTATTGACCTGAAGATTCATGTGGTAAAGAAACAACAGAGGGCCATAGAAGCTACATGACTAATTATCAGGTATGTTTAATATTCAAATGAGACCTTGATTTGCGCTCTTTTTTTCTGACAGGCTCACTGGTACAATGTGCGGTACAGAGGAAGTGCCTATCCTCCTGAGATTGTGCGCAGGGATGATCTTGTGGAAAGACCTGTAAGAATCTTAACAAACCTTGTCTTGACTGTAGATGCCAAAGATTTTTGTTTTAGACTGTCTCTGGTTATCAAGATTGTTTTGATAATGTCGTTCAGCTTTATGCATGAATCACTGAATCATTGCTGTAATTGTTCTCTGCCTGTCTAAGGATCCTGTAGTGTTGGCTTTTGATATTGAGACCACTAAACTCCCACTGAAGTTTCCTGATGCTGAAACAGACCAGATTATGATGCTATCATACATGATAGATGGGCAGGTAATGTCTTTTGCGCAATTACCTTTCTGAAATGTCAGTCATTCTTATTGCATAGCTGTTTTATCCATGCTGTGGTTAAATTTAGTTTGTTGGCCTCTTTGATGGGATTAATACTTGGCATGGTTTTAATGTATTTTTGTGTACCTTTTTTTTTTTTCCACAGGGCTTCCTCATCACAAACAGAGAAATAGTCTCTGAAGACATTGAGGACTTTGAGTTCACCCCAAAACCTGAATATGAGGGCCCCTTCACTGTATTTAATGAACCTGATGAGGTAAAAATTAACAGTATATGATGTGCATTGTTTACGAGACTGTTACTGAGTGCCACAATTAAATAGTTGGTATTGTCAAGTTGTTTAACCCATTTTCTGTAGTTTGTAAATGAGCCTTCCATATTTCTGACCATTTCTGTCTGCTTGCAGGCCTCTCTTATTCAGAGATGGTTTGAACACATCCATGAGACCAAGCCGAACATTTTTGTCACTTACAATGGAGATTTCTTTGACTGGTGGGACATGATTTGTGTTAAACTATCTCATACTATAGTTTTTACATATAATGTTTTATGTAATTATATGGCATTTACTTGTGTTGACTAGTGGTGTTTTCTTCACACGTGTTTTTCCAATAGCATGTGCTCATGGTTGATTTGTGTCTTTGTGTCCTCAGGCCATTTGTAGAAACCAGAGCGACCCAGCTTGGCTTAAGTATGCATCGGGAGATCGGCTTCCAGAAGGACAATCAGGGGGAATATAAAGCCAGCCAGGCTATTCACATGGACTGCCTCAGGTGAGAGCAGCTGAAATGTTTTCTTAAAGGGGACTGAATGAAAATTACCCACTCTTTACTTACGTTTCGTATATGTGACCATGGACCACAAAACCAGTCATAAGTGTACATTTTTCAAAATAGCGATCTGAAAGCTGAATAAATATCAGAGAAACAACTATTTGAAAATCTGCAATCTGAGGGTGCAGAAAAAAACTAAATATTGAGAAAATCGCTTTTAAAGCTGTCCATATGAAGTTCTTAGCCATGCATATTACTAATAAAAAATTAAGTTTTAATATATTTATGGTTGGAAATTTACAAAATATCTTAATGGAACATGATCTTTACTTAATATCCTAATGATTTTTGGAATAAGAATTTGACTATTGCTACAAATATACCTGTGCTACTTATGACTGGTTTTGTGGTCCAGGGTCACTTATGTATGACTTTATATTAGTAAATATACCGTGTGTCTCTCTCTCTTTATTCAGGTGGGTGAAGAGAGACAGTTACCTGCCTGTAGGAAGTCATAACCTCAAGGCTGCAGCAAAAGCTAAGTTAGGCTATGACCCTGTAGAGCTGGACCCAGAGGAGATGTGCCGTATGGCTACTGAAGAATCACAGGTGCTCTTCCTTTACGCTCCAGCTCCCAACACTCACTCATTTACACGAATGACTGTTCACTTACACCGTAACAGCTGCAATAAGACATTTAGCTCATCAGTTATCATTTTCAATGTATTGTGTAGCCAACCAATCTCATTGGTATAAAATCCTGCTTAACATAGCTGCATTATAAAAACATTTAATATGCTTTTATATTTGCTGTGATTATTATTAGTTTGTGCATCATTCACTTTTTACTTTTTTTATTTATCTTTTATTTATTTCTAGTTTTTTATTTATTTTATTATTTTATTAAATATTCAAAACAGTGCTTACTTTTGCTTTTTGTGCTGTATTTTTTTTTAGACTCTGGCCACCTATTCAGTGTCTGACGCTGTGGCCACATACTACCTTTACATGAAATATGTTCATCCCTTCATTTTTGCCCTCTGCACTATAATTCCTATGGAACCCGATGAGGTCTGTAGTCACTAAATCTTCTATTTTGATTGTTACTACACTGAGATGAATCAAAACTGTAGATGTAATTGTAACATCATGGTGTTTCTTTATGTGCGTCAACACACAAATGTTTAAACAGGTTTTGCGGAAAGGCTCCGGTACCCTGTGCGAGGCCTTGCTGATGGTTCAGGCCTTCCATGCCAACATTGTCTTCCCAAACAAGCAGGAGCAGGTCTTTAACAAACTCACAGATGATGGTCATGTACTTGACTCTGAGACTTATGTTGGCGGCCACGTCGAGGCTCTAGAGTCTGGTGTGTTTCGTAGTGATATCCCGTGCCGCTTTAAAATGGTAACTAGGACTTCATCTTTAACCAAAGCACACAGCATTGAGCTGTTTATTTGTGCTGTATCTACACAATTATTAATAATGATTCTTGTTCTGACAGAATCCAGCAGCATTTGACTTCTTGATTCAGAGGGTGGAGCGTACTCTCCGTCATGCAATTGAAGAAGAGGAGAAGATTCCCCTTGAGCAGGTCACCAACTTTAATGAGGTCAGTCGGTGTCATGTGTTTAATGTTCAGTATGACATTTTGTGCCTTTGGACACTCAAGACATGATTCCTATTTTATAAATTATCATTAGCATGCGTATATGTTTCCAAGTTATTCTACAGTTTTCATGTGATTTTTACCTGTTTTAGGTGTGTGATGAAATCAAGAGGAAGCTTATCTCTCTAAAGGAAGTGCCCAATAGAATCGAGTGTCCTCTTATTTACCATCTGGATGTGGGGGCCATGTACCCCAACATCATCCTTACCAACAGACTACAGGTACAGTACAGTTCTCATCTTGGATAGGTTGTAAAGGTGTTGATTTAATTATAATTAGACAAATTCTAGTTTGTCTCGTTTAGATGTTTATGAATCAAATAAGGCAAATTATCTCTTTCTCTCCATCTGTTTTTCTTCTAGCCCTCTGCCATGGTGGATGAGGCGACCTGTGCCGCCTGTGATTTTAATAAACCTGGTGCAAACTGTCAGCGCAGAATGACTTGGCAGTGGAGAGGAGAGATCAGTGAGTGATTTGAATATCTTGCATCTTTGAGAAGATGTTACTTTTTAAATAACATTTTTATTCAGCATGGATGCATTAAATTGATCAAAAGTCACAGTAAAGTCATTTATAACATTACAGCAATAAATGTTGTTCAAATAAATGCTGTTCTTTTGAACTTTCTATTCAAAGAATCTAACATTTGTCATGGTTTACACAAATATTAAGCAGCACAGCTGTTTTCAACTGTGGTAATAATAAAAAATGTTTCATGAGCTCCAAGTCAGCATGTTAGAATGATTGTCATTGACACTGAAAGTAAATGAAAAGTAAAAAGTTGTTTATAAACGTGACTATTATGAAATGTTAATATAGTTTTTCTTTTTCCGTGCCTGCGAGTAGAAGTGAGTTTCATCGCATTCAGCAGCAACTGGAGTCCGAGAAGTTTCCCCCTCTCTTTCCTAATGGTCCACCTCGTGCTTTCCATGTGCTCAACAGAGAAGAACAAGCTCGGCATGACTCTCTCTCTCTCTCTCTCTCTCTCTCTCTCTCTCTCATATAAATGAACACTTGATGAATTACACTTTTCTGAGAATAGAATATTGAGGTGGAGATCGCTAAACTGCAAGCGAAAACTAAAACCGGTGTTTTCAGAAAGCAAGCACATTTATCCACAGCGGAGAGAGAGTACGTGTATGGTTGCCAGGTTGACCAAGATAGGTAACACATTTAGCAGATATTTCCGTATTGCACAAGTGGGAAGCTCTGTTTCGGGGATTACGTCTCTTTATATCAGACAACCCAGTTGTGTTCCTCTGCGGCCAGATTAACGCTTGTTATAGCCTATATATTATGCTCTATTAATTATTTTTTTAGAAACCTCGCACTTTTCTGCTCAATTTTAAACGTTGTTCTTGTATTCAAATTAAGCACGGTCCACTGCTGCACACTTGCCACAATATCGATACAGGGACAGCTGTATCGATACTCGTATCGTCAAATCTCTGTGACAATACATCGTCGTATTGATGTATCGAACACAGCACTAATATGCATGACTTTATATTAGTATATTATACAGTGTCTTTCTCTCTCTCTCTCTCTCTCTCTCTCTCTCTCTCTCTCTCTCTCTCTTTATTAAGGTGGGTAAAGAGAGACAGTTACCTGCCAGTAGGAAGTCATAACCTCAAGGCTGCAGCGAAAGCTAAGTTAGGCTATGACCCTGTAGAGCTGGACCCAGAGGAGATGTGTCGTATGGCTACTGAAGAACCACAGGTGCCCTTCCTTTTATCTCCAGCTCCCAACTTTCACACTTACTAATATGAATGACTGTTCGCTTACACCATAAACATGTAATCAACATACTGTATTTCAGAGATTTATGAATTTTAGAAAGCTATCAGGCAAAATGAATTAATTTCAACACTGTTCTTAATGTGTAACACCATTTCCTAACTGGGCATGATGTGACACACAGTCCATACTATGTTAATATAAGTTTGTGTCCTTACCAGCAACAGTTGCAGAAGGACATTTAGCTGGTCAGTTATCATTTTTAATGTATTGTGCGTTCAATAATAGAATCTCATTGGTCTAAAATCTTTCTTACTATAGCTTTATATTAAACATTAAATATGTTCTGATTGGCTAATGATTTTGTCAATTTGCACTTCATTCATTCATTCTTATTGTTTTTTTTTTATATATATGTATATTTCATTCCTTTATTAAATATTCAATACAGTGCTCACTTTTGCTTGATGTGCTGTATTGTTGTTTTTCAGACTCTGGCCACCTATTCAGTGTCTGACGCTGTGGCCACATACTACCTTTACATGAAATATGTTCATCCCTTCATTTTTGCCCTCTGCACCATAATTCCTATGGAACCCGATGAGGTCTGTAGTCACTAAATCTTCTATTTTGATTGTTACTACACTGAGATGAATCAAAACTGTAGATGTAATTGTAACATCATGGTGTTTCTTTATGTGCGTCAACACACAAATGTTTAAACAGGTTTTGCGGAAAGGCTCCGGTACCCTGTGCGAGGCCTTGCTGATGGTTCAGGCCTTCCATGCCAACATTGTCTTCCCAAACAAGCAGGAGCAGGTCTTTAACAAACTCACAGATGATGGTCATGTACTTGACTCTGAGACTTATGTTGGCGGCCACGTCGAGGCTCTAGAGTCTGGTGTGTTTCGTAGTGATATCCCGTGCCGCTTTAAAATGGTAACTAGGACTTCATCTTTAACCAAAGCACACAGCATTGAGCTGTTTATTTGTGCTGTATCTACACAATTATTAATAATGATTCTTGTTCTGACAGAATCCAGCAGCATTTGACTTCTTGATTCAGAGGGTGGAGCGTACTCTCCGTCATGCAATTGAAGAAGAGGAGAAGATTCCCCTTGAGCAGGTCACCAACTTTAATGAGGTCAGTCGGTGTCATGTGTTTAATGTTCAGTATGACATTTTGTGCCTTTGGACACTCAAGACATGATTCCTATTTTATAAATTATCATTAGCATGCGTATATGTTTCCAAGTTATTCTACAGTTTTCATGTGATTTTTACCTGTTTTAGGTGTGTGATGAAATCAAGAGGAAGCTTATCTCTCTAAAGGAAGTGCCCAATAGAATCGAGTGTCCTCTTATTTACCATCTGGATGTGGGGGCCATGTACCCCAACATCATCCTTACCAACAGACTACAGGTACAGTACAGTTCTCATCTTGGATAGGTTGTAAAGGTGTTGATTTAATTATAATTAGACAAATTCTAGTTTGTCTCGTTTAGATGTTTATGAATCAAATAAGGCAAATTATCTCTTTCTCTCCATCTGTTTTTCTTCTAGCCCTCTGCCATGGTGGATGAGGCGACCTGTGCCGCCTGTGATTTTAATAAACCTGGTGCAAACTGTCAGCGCAGAATGACTTGGCAGTGGAGAGGAGAGATCAGTGAGTGATTTGAATATCTTGCATCTTTGAGAAGATGTTACTTTTTAAATAACATTTTTATTCAGCATGGATGCATTAAATTGATCAAAAGTCACAGTAAAGTCATTTATAACATTACAGCAATAAATGTTGTTCAAATAAATGCTGTTCTTTTGAACTTTCTATTCAAAGAATCTAACATTTGTCATGGTTTACACAAATATTAAGCAGCACAGCTGTTTTCAACTGTGGTAATAATAAAAAATGTTTCATGAGCTCCAAGTCAGCATGTTAGAATGATTGTCATTGACACTGAAAGTAAATGAAAAGTAAAAAGTTGTTTATAAACGTGACTATTATGAAATGTTAATATAGTTTTTCTTTTTCCGTGCCTGCGAGTAGAAGTGAGTTTCATCGCATTCAGCAGCAACTGGAGTCCGAGAAGTTTCCCCCTCTCTTTCCTAATGGTCCACCTCGTGCTTTCCATGTGCTCAACAGAGAAGAACAAGCTCGGCATGAGAAGAAGCGTTTGGGAGGTTAGTATACACCTGCAGGGAACTAGGTTTTTTTTTTGTGTGTGTGTGTGACTGTTGTCATAGACCAAGATGAACTTAAATTATGCACTTACAAACTCGCATGTATAGATGAATATTGATTAGGGTTGGGTATTGTTTGAATTTTATCAATCCCGATTCTTATCGATTCCTAGTTTTGATTCCAATAAGATAAAAAGTCCAATATAAAAAAATGATGTCAAACATTTAGATGTCAAACATTTATTCTGTCTTTTTGCAAGCATTCTGTTGCAGCTGAATAATATGAGCAAAAACCAGCAGCCTACAGATCACTTACAAGAGGAACTTTTGCCGATGCTTTTAAAACAAATACCACAGCAAAAACAACTAGATATAAATTTCAAATATTAAAGTGTTAAAGACAAGTAAACAGACAGTAATAAAACAGGGAAAAAAACACATAAATTAGCAATAGCATAAATAAATAAAACAACCTAATTTCAGGAACAGAAACTGTAATTTAAAAGTTTAAAAACACTGCATAGTTTTCTTTTCATAAATATAATATAGATTAATAAATTTATATTTAATTAAAATGATTAAAGATATTCAGTCAAGGTCAGTGAATGATTTTCTTTTGTTACTAGATTAGCATTAATGACAGGCAGCGCGTTTATTAGGCTGCTGTCTCTTTAACACCGAACTCATGCAGATCTAAAAATACCATACATGTGCGTTTTCTTTCTCATCTGTTTACGTTCACTTAAGACAAAAATGGCTGTGTTTATTAGGGCTGGGTAAAAAATATTGATATCTCGATATTAATCGATTCTCATTTTTACGGAACAATATCGATTCTTAAATCCCAAGAATCGATTAGTTTAGCCTGTTTTCAGTTAATGGGTGGAACATTGAAGGGCACTTCCCATCCAATATATCACAATAATCATTGTGCTTTGGTACTTTTAATATGAAACTAAGTCTCAGATTTCAAATTCTGTCCATTGTATTGCAGAATTCAAACAATAAATGCCGTTTTGGCGCTGTTTAATGTGAAGTGACAGATCGCTGTAGCGCCTCAGTTCAACAGACGCGGCAGCGCGAGGCGCACGTGAACTGATCATCTCCACATTAATACCAGTTTCAGCACAAAATAAACATGACTAAACATCTGAAGGTAAGTTAAAAGAAAGGGTACAACTTTACAATCTGTATCCTGTCTCATGTAATCACTCAATCAGTGTTTCAGCCACGCAAAGACGTCAATATAACGGCTTGTAAACAATGTCATGTAATGTCACATTTACCTCAGAAAAACATATTTGGTGAACATAAACTCATTAGTCAGATAGAAAAATAAACTGTAGAGAGGGGCATTTTGCTAAATATATGCACCATATAACATATTCATTATAAATTTTACTGTTCTTCAATGTGTTTATATTTTTTAAAAAAACGAATTGAAGTAGAAATATTATTATGTACTTGTAATTTGTATTATTTAAAAAACTTCATTAAGTGTGATTTTAACAAATCAGTCAATTTTAATCTTCAATATTATAGTAATGTAGTACCAACTGACTCTCATGCATATTTTACAGCATTAGTTGAGAGATTTTTTTTCCTTGAAAATTTGGCATGTACTGTATCTGATATACAGTATATCCAAAATAATCGATATTGAATCAAATCTAATCGAATTGGTAATCGAATCAAATCGCAAGCTTGTGAATGAAAATCAAATCGAATTGTGAAATTTGTGTCAAAACCCAGCCCTAGTGTTTATGATGATATACTGACGTAGTTTTCTGCATACTGGTCGATAAACATGAAAGAAGTCAGTTCCGGCTCTGAACAACCTTTTCTGCAGTGGAAATGCACGGAACGGTTCAAGAACGGACACAGATTGGGAGCGCTGTTCTCTGTTCTCTCTGCTCGCGCTTCAGACGTGTGCTCTGCACGCAAGCAGGGCGCAAGTTCTTTCCGTTCCTGCACGTAAATCGTTTTAAATCACAAAATACGAACGCAGGAATTGTTAAGCAGAATCAAAATGCACTCGTCTTAGGGCTGGGTAAAAAATATTGATATCTCGATATTAATCGATTCTCATTTTTACGGAACAATATCGATTCTTAAATCCCAAGAATCGATTAGTTTAGCCTGTTTTCAGTTAATGGGTGGAACATTGAAGGGCACTTCCCATCCAATATATCACAATAATCATTGTGCTTTGGTACTTTTAATATGAAACTAAGTCTCAGATTTCAAATTCTGTCCATTGTATTGCAGAATTCAAACAATAAATGCCGTTTTGGCGCTGTTTAATGTGAAGTGACAGATCGCTGTAGCGCCTCAGTTCAACAGACGCGGCAGCGCGAGGCGCACGTGAACTGATCATCTCCACATTAATACCAGTTTCAGCACAAAATAAACATGACTAAACATCTGAAGGTAAGTTAAAAGAAAGGGTACAACTTTACAATCTGTATCCTGTCTCATGTAATCACTCAATCAGTGTTTCAGCCACGCAAAGACGTCAATATAACGGCTTGTAAACAATGTCATGTAATGTCACATTTACCTCAGAAAAACATATTTGGTGAACATAAACTCATTAGTCAGATAGAAAAATAAACTGTAGAGAGGGGCATTTTGCTAAATATATGCACCATATAACATATTCATTATAAATTTTACTGTTCTTCAATGTGTTTATATTTTTTAAAAAAACGAATTGAAGTAGAAATATTATTATGTACTTGTAATTTGTATTATTTAAAAAACTTCATTAAGTGTGATTTTAACAAATCAGTCAATTTTAATCTTCAATATTATAGTAATGTAGTACCAACTGACTCTCATGCATATTTTACAGCATTAGTTGAGAGATTTTTTTTCCTTGAAAATTTGGCATGTACTGTATCTGATATACAGTATATCCAAAATAATCGATATTGAATC